TCAGGTTCAAGCACAGCTGGGGCACCGCAGAGAAGCTCTACAAGTCCGAGGCCATCGACTCCTTCGGCAACAAGTACCTCCTTGGTGTCTACGAGACCGTGAAGGAGGCCGAGAAGGCCTTTGACGAGTGGAACAAGGAGCACCCCGGCCCCCCAAGCTTCGATCTTTCCGACAGCCACATTTGCCTCGAAATCTGACAAGCCAATCCCAACCACGTGCCCGGCACCGCCCTGAAACAAACCACTCAGGTACGAGCAAGCCGGCGCTGATGTCAAGGAGTCCCTCAGCGGCTGGGCCAAGCAACAGGAGGCGGCGCTCGCCGAAGACCAGGCCGGTGCGTTTCCGCGGGGTACGAAACTGAGAGCTTTCCGCTACTAGTTACTGGTAACAAGCGATGCTGCATTGTCTGGCAATGGCCAAAAATTGGCCAGACAGTACAAGTACTTGCCACATGCCACACTTGTGCTTGAATAGGCGCAGAGCAGCGGTGTTACAGGGATCATATCGGGAACAATTGTGGGTCCCTGCGAGGATGAGGTGGACCGCCTCCGCAAAGCGCTCGAGGAGGCGCGCCGCTAAGGCGGAGGAGTGCACCGCTTGGCCCCGCTCACAAATCACCTGAAGAGGTGGCCGAGCATTAGTAAGTCCCTGCATTTGCAGGGCCAGCAGGAACATCCTGTCGGGCAGACATTGTTGTGGTCGGGTTTGACGCAAAAGATTAAATGACGCAGGTCATCGCTTTTAGTCTAATCTGCTCGGAGGTTTGTCCTCCGCACGTGAAGCTCTAAGACATTTCCAGGGATCCAGGTTACCAATCTAGGAGACAGAAGTTCATCACGGTCAAACTGCACACGACGAGCTTTCAAGCACCACAGGATTTCGGGTTTCGTGTCTTTTAGAACAATGGCTGCAACACGGGAGTCGGAGTCGAAAGCCCACGGTCTCGAGACCGACGCAGCAGGGCACGATTCGTCCCGGATTAACTATGTGGTGTATATATCGCATCAGTTCTTCACCGTTGCATGCGCCTACGCGCAGCAAGCAGTTTTTGTGACCGATGGTCATGAAAAAATGACAGCCAATAGCAGAGCAGAATTTCGTGCGATGCCTCGTGCGCTGCTGGGAACGAGGAACTTAACAGGCTTGGGGCGGCTAGGGCAGTGTTTTGACTGTCGAGCTTGTCTGCAGTTGGTCTTGAGGAACAAGACGAAATGTCAAACATCCTCCTAGGTGCAAGGAAGAATCGGAGAAGGTCGTTTTCGCTACGTACGAGGTGTGGCACACGGTGGGATCAGAGCACATGTGGCAATAGCATGATGGCGAGCACTTCACAAGTGATTGTAGTTCTGTCTTGCATTGATTACGAACTTGGGCGGCGTTGTCTGTTTGCGCGCTTCAGCAAGTTCGGACATCATGCACATCTTATTAAGCTCACTTCCTTGCGCACTCGCATACCTACGTACATCCAAGACACACATTCGAGAACCTCATCGCGAGGCCGCCGTTGATGCTGCACGTGTGGAGGAGGCAGCTGCCGCTGCTGCGCTAGCAGAGGCCCCGAATGCTCCCAGTAAAACTCGCTCTGAGTTTCGCCAGAACTGCTGAAAGGGTGTGTCTCGTGAAGCTGCAGAATGCTACTCGTAGCTGGTCGAAGCCACTTTTTGGGACCTGCTGTTGTCAAAGGATGTCAGATTTCAGGAAGCAGCTGTGACAGTGACTGGCTGATTATTCGGGGGTCCGGCTTCCGACTGCATGCGTCCACCTCCAATGGCACGCAAACAAAGCAAAAGTGCATCCAAACTGCCCAGCGCCGCCCCCGTAAAGTTCCTTCAGGCTCAAAGGTGGAAAGATCAAATACCAGCCCGGGCCTGAGATTGGTTCATAGCTTTGCCGCGGCTGTTCCCGCCGCTGTAAGCTGCTACCACAGCAATGAGGAAGTTACAACACTTGCGAGGCACGACGATGACAGCTGGTATGGCTTGCTATGACTGATAGTCCAAGAGGTGCTGCTACAAGAAATTCACTAGCTTTCTGAAGGTTGCTGCAAAACGAACATGGCACTCGTCCTTCTGCTGCGGGCGTTCTGCCGTAGATTCATGACACGGGTGACAATATCACGAATGGTGCTTTCTCCTGGTGGATGTCTGATTTGTGTGGGGAAGGTGCAAGTACCCGAACACCTCACGTGCTTCTGCCGCCTGGGAAGTCAGTGGCAGGGTGTCCGATAGGTTTGTTAACTGACAGATTCGCAAGCATCTCCGAAACCTTACACTGCTTTCACCCAGCAGTCAATGCTACCACAGCACTGGAATGCATCCTTCAAGGCGATCGTCGTATCCTGGGTTGCAAAGTGCTTTTGTTCTGGCTGAGGGCCTGGAGGCAGAGGCCGATGCGGAGATCGAGGCCTTTCTAGCCGAGGCAGCAGTACAGGAGGCCTGGCCTCTTTGGTGATCTCTTGGCGAGGGTTGCTGTCTCGTTTCGGGGAACTGTGACTTGAAAGACCTGTGGATCAAGGAACAGCTGCGGCGGGACTCCGAAGCACAAGCCTCCCGGCTGCAAGCATGCGGTGGAGCTGGATGGGTCGACGCTCTGGCGATTTCTTCCATGTGGCTAGGACGTTGACGACGATGGCGACGATGGTTGAACTTACCTGCTTTACCTGCTGTGGATGTATTGCAGCCATCACAGCCGCCAGGCCCAAGACGACGATGACTGCGAGGATCAGGGACGATGACGACATGCAGAGGAGAACAAAACAAGAGACGCTGAAAATTCGTCATAAGCTTCGCGGCAGTAGTCGCTGTAGTATGTCGTTGTCGTCGTCGGAAGGCTTGTTCGTGTTGACGCTTCAAATCACTACTTGCACCCCAACAGCACACTTGCAGAATTGCTCAGTCTCGACGAGTGCCACTCACAAAGTCTCAACTCGTGAAAATGCTGCCGCAGCTGCTCTAACAACGAGTACTGCTACAACCACCACGACCACGGTTAAAAGCACAACCACTACGACTACCACTACCATTACCACTGCCACCGCGACCACCACCACAACTGCTATCGCCGCTGCCACTACCACTGCGACTGCCACCACCACCGCCACCACCCCTACCGCTACCGCTACCATTAGCACCACCACTACCACTATATACCATGACCACCACCACCAACTACTACTGCCACTACTTCTTCTACTGTTACTGCGACGACGACGACGACCATCACTGCGACTACTACTGGTACTGGTACCGGTACTGGTATTGCTACTAGTGGATTCAGCTAACTACCGAGGCGAGGCATTGGTTGGGACTGCCACGATGACGACCATTCGTACTACGCTTCTTACACGTGAAGCTTTGACAGATGATATTCTTGAGCACATCTCAGGTGAGCCTGTCGAAGCGTCTCGGAAGCAAGCTTTTGTTTGTGCCGTTAAGGCATGGTCCAGCTTGTCAGGAGCCCCTTCCCCCTTGCAAGGCTATTTTCGAGGAAAGCTCAGTTCAAGCTGAAACCAGCTTGCCTGTCAGGTTTAGTGTCCATACCAGATCTCTTTTCTCGCAACACTCGCAATGCACATCAATTATGGTAGAAAGCTGAGGCGGCTCACACAAACGGCGCATGAAGAGGAGAAGGCGTGCAGCAGGGTGCAGGTCCTTGTTTCACTCAGATGCGCTTGTTTCACCTTCGGGAAATGGCTGCGCAGGTCTACATTACTGAGACCTCTGCTGCCTGGGCTCGGGTGCGGAAGGCAGTCGCAGGGTTTCATCGCCGAAGACTTGGGCTCCAACAAGATCCAAAGCCCTCAGAGGCAGTCAACATAGGATCCATTGATGTATGCATGTATACACATTGCATGTAAATATGATGCATACATGCACGCAGGCTCTGCTTCTTTAGCTGGCTCTTCGGCCGTTTCAAGGTTCAGAACAGGCACACCCATCCACATAAAAACATACGCATCGGAGGCGAGCTGAGTCTAACTCAACAAATTCGTTCACAAGGCCCTGAACCGGTCGCCAAATTGCGACGGGGCTGGTGGTCCAGAAGCGGACCCCTTCCGTGCACCAGGCCTGTTATCAGCTGCGCCTGGCGAGTCTACATGAACCTCGACTGCATTCGGTCGGTTTTTGCGGGGTGGCTGATGGACGGACACCTACAGGTCATGACTCATGACCAGCCTTTAAGTCATCGACCCCACCACTAGCTCTGAGAGGAGTAATTAGGCCTGTGTGCACCTGCTTGCGCTTTGTGTGCAAGTTTGGCGATGCGAGGGCTTCGGGAAATATTCATGGAAGTAGGGCTTCACTCCAGGACTTCGCGAAAGGCATTGCATCCGGCGGCTTCGACCAGAAGCTGAAAATGGACGACGAGTAGTGTCTTAGAAGCTTCTGCATCGGGCGGTTTGTCACAAAGTTTGGGCTTTCTGGCGCTGAACGGCAGCCCAAAAGCCGTTCCTGTTCCGTTTCAGTCAGAGGGAAGAAGACCTTCGCTCTAAAGCCTTCGTCCCTATAGTTCTTCCTTTCAGAGCATGGGGAGATAAGGCACGGCGCCCTGAGTACTACATCCGAAAGGGTTCATATACCACTGCGGCGGCTGTTGAAACAGCTGCAGCAGAAGCTGCGATCAACATATTGCACTTTGAGACGTGATGCAGCCTTTCGGATGTGTGGGCGCCGGTGGAAGCCGCGTGGCCTTGGAGTTTCACATGGACACTGTAAGGTGTGCGAGAAACAGCATGGAAACTTGCCTTCGCCTGCTTACTGCTTCTGCCTGAGCAGGTCATGTTCTGTTCTTCGCAAATGCTTTCGTGTCACCGCTTGCATTGGAGTCAGATGGTGGTACTGATCTTCGAAGCCTGGTGGAGTTTCCTGTTTGAGCACTTTCTGGTTTCCTACATTCCAGCCCTTGGACAGCCCCATGCCGCCTCCACCTCCGCCGCCAGGGCTAGTGCCCAGGCCTACCAAAAGCCCCGCAACAGCTGTCGTTGCCGCCGGGTTGTCAGATCTTGGGGAGGCAGGACTGCCGCCAGGGTTAGCACCCAGGCCCACCAAAGCCCCCACAACAGCTGTCGGCGCCACCGAGTTGTCAAATCTTGGATTGGAGGCAGCACTGGAAGCCAGAGCAAACAAACTGAGAAGTGTGGAGACGAGGGTTAGGCAGCGAGATGGCACGCTGCTGGTGGAGCAGCGCGGCCAGCATGGCTTCACTTGCGAAGTGGCCGGACATGAGGACAGTAAGCCCCAATATTTGGAAGATCAGGAGCATGGCTTGTCGCGTCTGAGCCCCAAGATCTTTGACGAGGCAGCGCATCGCTGGCGACCGACGGAGGCGGTGTCACCTGAAGACGCCGCGCGGCTGAACGAAGCGCAGCTGTCACAGCGTGGTCTGCGGCTGGTCACTTACAACGTTTGGTTCAGTGAGTACCGGCAGCGGATCCGCGCGCAGGCCCTGTTCGGCATCCTGAGTGCAACGAAGGCAGACATCGTATGCCTGCAGGAGGTTACCCCAAAGTTCTTGTCTTGGCTGCGGGAAGAAGACTTCGTGCGCACAAACTATGCCCTCAGCGATTCCGTGGGCACGACTTTGCGAGGTTCCGAGCTGGCGTATGGCGTGGTATTGTTGGTCCGCCGGGAACTGCATCTATCCTCACTTTTGCTGCACGAGCTGCCCTCGCAGATGTCCAGGGCACTGCTGTTGGCCTCACTTCCCCTCCCGACACATGAGCTTCGCGTGGCCACGGCGCACCTGGAATCCTTGAATGCCACACAACTGCGACTGGAGCAGCTCACGCAGATTTGCAAGATCTTGACGGAGGACGGACAAGCATCGTCGGTGTTTGCTGGGGACATGAACTTTGGCGACAAGGCTCCGGAAGAGCAGGTGCTGTGCCAGGCCGGCTTTGTCGACTCGGCTAATTGTGGACACACGATGCCCTTCGACGATGTGCACTGCCAACCACTGCGAATCGATCGAGTCTTCGTGAGTTCAGCACCAGGAGGTTCTTGTCGGCTGCTGCCTGGCCCTTGCCAGCGGCTTGGCGAGAAACCAGCGATCAACCCAGACGAGGATGTTTTCGGGGTCTTGCAGGACCCGAGAGACGGCTGTCCTGCGGCTGATGACGAAGGTGAGACAGATCCTGACATGCCGACCTTGGTTCCAGTGCTTCCAGGCGAGGTTCCACCGCGCTTGTCAAATCTCCCCTCGGACCACTTCGGCCTCCTTTGCGACATCGAACTGGTCCAGCGCAAGGTCGCGGTTGGCCAGAGGAGCCTTGTGCCGCTCGAACCTCTGGCCTGAAGCCAAGCCAGAAAACTAACTGCCGACCCTTGAAGCCTTTGATGTAGGCCATTCACTGCAATTTGGGTTTGTAATCAAAACCGAGCTGTCTGAGACCCTCGGCTTGATCCTTCGGCCATGATATCCTGAAATCAAAGCAGTGAATTAGTAAATGTCATGGACGGGGTTAAGCCAAGCAGTTCGGCCCGATGAATGGTGTGAGCCTTGGTCGCTATAGGGCATCTAAGCTATCATTCATCGATCAGACGAACGCTTAGGCCAGCTAGGAAGGTTCTCCGTTGGATGCTCAAGCGAGCGCGCCCACGCGCTGTCTGCGATTAGCCTTTCCTTCGGCTAAGCCGCAGCCTGCAGCCATGTGGCGCCGGCCACCATGTTGCCGCAGCTGTCCGCAGCTTCACTCGCTGCCGCCGCGAGGGACGAGGCGGTACTTATTGCCTCACAACTGTTGAAACCTTCAGAATGACAGAGGTACTGAAGCCGGACTGAGAGGTCGTTTTGTGCCTGGCCCAGCTGCTTTAATGGTTGTGACTCACGAAATTTGGATCTGCTAAATATCTCGAAATCGTAACCATGTTGGGACACAGCGTCGCACCCTTGATTGGCCCAGGGACACCTTTCATGAAGGAATAGTCTTGAACTCACAAGAAGAAGCCCCTGCAACTTCAGGGGCATTCCTTAATTAAGGGGTTGTGGAGTTTCTTGGGGAGGTTGTTTTCAGGCCTCTGCAAATGTCCAGCCTGGCTGACTGTGTAGGATGCAGCGCAGTTAGAAGTGGCAGTGATGGAGATGGACCTCCATGTCTTATAAGAAGCATCTCAGCAACAGCCAGACGGCCAGACCCCTTACAGGATCAACGCATAGAAGCCCGAAAAGGTCCTGCTATTGACGGGTGAGATAGGGAGGGCCGCTACCGTCGGCGACCTTCAGCACAAGACACACCTCAGCTGTGCGAGCCCCCAATGCAGCACTTGGAAAATACCTTAACCGAGCCAGTTGTCACCCAGGAGAATACGCCTCGGGTTTCTCGAACCTATAGCTTCGTAGATGCATCTTCACACCTTGATCTACGTCAGCTAACTGGACCTGCACGGAGTTTTGGCTCGAGTGCATTACCCCTGCCCCTTTTCTCCATCACGCCGCTTGGCTGTGTCTACTGCTTCTTCGTGTTGAGGTAAGGCTATGTAGGATCGACGCCAAGCACGACATGAAGCAAGATTTGTGTGCTTGAAAATGTTACCTCTTTTTTTGCAGAGCATTGGAATGCGGTGGAATTGCAAGCAGACCTGGTAAAACGCCACATTTCACCGATGCTGCCTGGGTTGGATGCTTGCAACATCTTGCAACGCTCTGTCATCTTCTTCCAAATTCGTGATGTATTTTGGCTGAAACGGAATCCGGAAGCCACCCGATTTTGCAGAGGTCAGGCATGACGCAGTCCCGGCTTTTGCCAACGGTGCTGCTGGCCGCCTCGTCATGGCTCCTGATCTCCCTCTTCGGTTCCCAGCAGAGCCTTGGCGCCATACGACACAGAGAGCATCTGGCTTCCCCCGTAAATCGAAACATGGTCCAAGATTGAACGCTTTTTCGGTTTGCCGGTGTCCCATTCGGAAGTTGAGGACCTCCTTCCTGATGGGCACTTCGCCGGCAGGATCTTCTCGCCAGAGCCGAACTGCCA